TTAACGGCAATGGTCCATCGCTGTACTGTGTAGCGTTGTTATTTTCCTCTTTCTTGTTTTGCTGCAGCTCGTTCACATATTTACCAGAAACGATACTATTATCAATGACCTCTGCAACACCTCAACCATTTAGGAAACGCTGGCTGCTGGTGTTTATTCGGGAAGAGTGCACAACCATAACAGCAGCCATACAAAAATAAAGTTAAGACAGCCTGTTGCCTGAACGAAGATAACAGTTCTGTGTTTAGAAAGAGTTGTTGACAGTTTAGAGTACAAGGTACTCTACTATAGAAAAACATAAAGACGTCCCGTAGGCCTCACACTTGATGAGGCCGCGCCGACAAAAATTACGTCATGAAGGAGCTCACGATGACGCATGATTCAGTGCGAAGTTCGCGCCGACCCCTGGCATCGACAAAAGCTGGGGCTTCCACGTCGCAGTTCTTTCGAATGTAACATTCATCGAATGTTCACACTTAATCATAACATCGTTTTTCTCTAGCAGTTCAACTGCACAACAAGGTTCACCCAGACAGACCTTTCTGGCTGCACTGGTCTTTTGGCATACACAAATGAAGCTAAATAATTAGATCTTTCTTACATTCACTGGACATCTCGTAATCTACCGCCCTAAATACTTACTTGTCGTTATGGCACACTAATGTGCCCCAGATATTTTAATTGCGAAGCATTTCTTTGCTGAGCTCCAAGCACTTTTGGGGTCTATCTACGTAGATAGATAGCTATCTATAGCCTCCTACGTCTGGGTGCTCTCGTGATCACCCCTTTAAGTCTGGGTAAATCGAAAATAGCATAGGTGGGTAACATGGTTTGACGAATATGACTCGCTGGTCATGAGATGAATAGTGGCACGACCCTGATATCATATTATTTGGTATATCACATTCTTCGGGATATTGTTTTATTCAGGATATCAACTTCGAAGAAAACACTCTACTCCAGACAGTGACACATAACCGCAGGCGGGTATGTGCCACTGGTATGTGGGTATGCGCCACGGGTAACTGACACTTCGTGCTACCCAGAAATGTCGAGAGCACGCATGGTAATTTTGACGCGTGAGCGTATAAAAAAAAAAGCTGACATTGGCAGCGTTGACCCAACGAATGTAAATAAAAAAGTGTCATTTATCTACAAGCAGGAATCGAACCCCACCATTCTGCATGGATATCAAGTGTTCTGCCACAGAACCATGCCAGGACTCGCAACTTCTTTTCAAATAGACCGTAATGTTCGTAAAGCGTGAATTGGGGATGCAGTGATGAGCTATCCAATCATATAAGCAGTACATATGTACCTCAACGAAACAGCCGTCACGTTGGGTTAAGATCATCTATAGTTAAGCGCAATGCATGGAAGGTGATTGGCACTTTATATCAACCAAGCAAACACGCGAACAGACATTGGTGATTTTCATTCGCGAGCTTTAACAAAAATCAGTGCATTTCCACGAAGTGAATGACGACAAGTGGGCGAAGCTATAGCGCTATAGGTCTTAACGTCCATGATGTCCACGTTGAAGTCGCCTACTACTGTTAAGGACGGACGCACGGACAAGTGGATGGATGCACGGACAGACAGACGGACGAATTGGGTGATAATGTATCGTGCTTTCGTGTAGTTGATTACACATACAGTCGGTTGTTTACACGTTTTTTTAGTTGTTTTTGTGCAGGTGTTCAGTTTCGGTTTGGGTTTTGTGGGGCGTGATGGACGCCAATTATATCAACCCTAAGGAGCTTCACCCCTAAAAGCCGGCATCGACAGCGTTGACTGAAAGAACGCATAGAATAAATATGATGGTCCCAGTAGGAATCGAACCAAAGCATTCTGCGTGGCCATCAAGTATTGTACCACAGAGCCATGCCAGGTCTCGAACTGCTTTTTAAGTAGACCATAATGTTCGTGAAACGTCAATAGTAGTTGCAATGCTGGCTACCTAATATTATATACAGTACATACGTACTACTATCATACAGCCGTCACGTCGGGTTAACGAGAATTGTAGCGAAGCACCATTCACTGATGCTCATTTAGCTGCATGTGTCCAGGGTCACACAAGCTTACATATCAGCTTACCGCTTCTGGCGTTGCTAATACCCATGTGTCTGTTATAATCGTTACGCAAAAGTAAGAACGCGACTCTTTAACAAATCTATGCGTACAACATATTTACACGTGTTAGCGTCATTTGATACCGTTTTGCTCAATAAAAGAATTACAACACAGTCACCTTCTCTCCGCACGCTTAGCATAACTTTGATTCCCAAGGTACGTGGGATCTGCAGAATTTTATGTTTTATTAACGCGATTCGTCCTTGGTCTGACACAAAGTGTTCATTAGTCTATGCATCTGGTCCATTGATTCATGTTTCGTTTCTAAAGAAAACCATTGCGCTATGCCACGAAACAAAGCGAGGTAATAAAAATTACAGCAGATAACTATGAAAATATCATTGGAAAAAGCAGTGCGTGGACCCTCATTGAGTTCTGTGTGTGTGCGTGTGTATTTCGATTGATACGGATGCATGAGCGGAAGTGTGGTGCGAAAAAATACTGTTCTCTATCTGCTGCTACAACAGTATAACAAAACAGTAGGTGTGAGCCATACTTCTCTGCAGACTGGTTGGTTCATACTTTAAAACTCGATTTGCTGCGCAAGCTTGAAGGAAAACGAGAAGGGAGACAGGAAAGAGCGCTCCTTCCTGTCTTCGTTTTCGTTTTTTTCCTTCAACTTGCGCAGCAAGTTCAGTTTTCAAGCAGGTGTAAACTGGCCCTTTCATAGCTCCCTGAAGCCTACGATGAGACATCAGACAGGTTATACCACGCGTTCGCTCTCACAGGCAATCGAGCGCACAGCATCTGAAGCACGAACAAAAAGTCAAGACAACTTGGCACCAAGGCTCCAAAGCTTAAACTAAGTGCGGAGCTGGACAGCCTTCCTTGTTTTTCTTCGGTTTTCTCATCCTTTCATGTTTTCCTAGTTATTTGTCCTTTTAATTCTATTTATTACTTACACCCTTTTAATCTATTGTTTACTATTTCTATTTTTAGTCTAAATTAATTTCGCTTTCTTCCTCTTCTTTTCAATTTCTTTCTGGCTTCCTGTTTTTTTTCTCATGCTGTGGTTGCTTGGCGTGAAGCAGGAAAAAAACCACGTTTAGAAATAGCAAAAGAGAGAGAAAACGAGAAATAGAAAGTAGAAGAAAGAGCAAAAAAACAATAGGTGAAAAAAATAGAAAGAACACAAGCACAGGCCGGGCTGCTAAAGTGTTCCGCACTTAAAACGCGGTGTGTTTCTGCCAACCACCCCGGAGTGATGGCTGAAGCCACCCGACCACATCACTGGTAGTAATGACTTTTTCGTTCATTCTAAATTTTTATATACACTGGTCTAGAACTGAGAAGATCCTAAATTCACCAAACATTTGCCGCATGATGTAATGCTCCTTGCCCCAGCACCCTTTCATTTGCACTATCTTAGCACGGCATACGCACAGAATGCCAGACTTTGTATCCATGCTAAAGAAGTCTAGGGCTTTCAAACCATTTAGGGTAATGCAAGTTTCTTGGTAGCTCAAATCGTTCCAGATAGCATTTCGTTTATTCTTAACGCACAGTAATCAGGCGTGCACGATCACTAATCTTGACTTGCCAAGCATATAAAACATAAAAAGCTTTTCTTTATTCTGGTCTGTATAAAACCGCGTACTCACCGAATTTAGGCGTGCATTTGCATTCGCGACAGTGTGAGAATTATTAGAGAGTAAGCCTCGTGAAACTACCATTCATGTGTTTGGAAAAACGTTTTTTACGAGTTAGGGTATACTTGGTACTCTACTATGGGAGAGCGGAAAGCCGTCCAATCAAAACAGCTGTAGCTAATAAATTGAGGATCTGTGTTTAGGAGAAATGTTCGACGACTCAGAGTACGATGTACTCTACGATGAGAGAGCAATAAACGGTCCCTGATCGCCCGCATACAGAAGGATCACTGAGTTATGTATATTCTCCGAATTAATGCGAAGATCTACTTGTTCTTCGAAGAAGCGACTGATGCTAAAAGAAACCTCATAAACTGTGCCAGTAGGGCATTCTGTAAATATATTGGTGCAACGAATGTTTGTCCGTTTTTTTTTATTTGCAACCTGCTTTTCTTTTTTCACTGCTTGGCATCGTATGTCTTTTTTATAGCCTATTGGTAGCTGTAACGACACAGAATAGCCCATTGTGCAACTTTACTGTATCTAACGTGTGCGATAAGAACGGATGTACGGGCTGTCTATTCTTCTTCTATTCTCGTTTTCAGCTCTTTTTGCAACCAATGTTTTCTGGGTGCGCAGCTTTATGATGACTAATGAATGAGGAAACGCGTAGGTCGAGGCATAGCATATCAACATTACTGGCAGCCAGCCTACAACTATCTTGCATTGAGAAGAACCGAAACTCTTTCATAGTTATCTCTCAAGAAAGGGAAATAAGACAACCACCCCTTTGTAGCCGGGAGCCACAAGTAAATCTGTGCCAATTTCTCAGAAAGAAAAGCTTTCGCCACCTAGCGGGTTTCCACAGAACTCATTTGCAATAGTTATCTATCACGAGTATCAGCACAGGTGCCTGATTTACAGGTGACAGTGTTGTGTCATTGATGGTGAAACGTACCGATGTATGGGCATGCGCAAGGTATGCTTTCTATCTTTTCTGCCATAGCGCGAACTTCCTGCCTGTACTCGGTGTTTGTGTTCTCTTGTTGCCTTTCTTTTGGGTTCGTGCCTGCACACCCTACATTCCTCTGCGATATGCGATTACAGTTCAATCATGATCAAGTATAAGGACGGTCAGTAACTTCAGCATTTAGTTTCTACAAGGATCTAACACAGCATTCTCAAGCGACATCGAAGTGGCCCGAAATGGTTGGCCACCCGTCGTGCAAGTAGCAGCGTGGCCGGCGCTTTCAAATCATGGCGGGGGCTACTGACCTTTCTCGCGGCCGAACGCGATTTCCTGGTCGTCTTCTCTTCTCCACGTGATTTCCGGTTCCGGCGTTCCCTTGGCAACGCACTTGAGCGCGGCTTCACCCCCCTCTCGGACTTCGGTGTCTGAGCTGGTGTTCTCCTCGTCAATCTTGGGTGGCACTGCGGAAAAGAAAATAAGAAATGAGGACAAAGGGACATCTCGGCTGCAGCATGACTGTGTCAGCATGACATTGTGGCGTAAGAAAATGAACACAGAAGAGTCCACACACACACACACACACACACACACACACACACACACACACACACACACACACACACACACACACACACACACACACACACACACACACACAACACACACACACACCACACACACACACACACCACACACACACACACATACATACATACATACATACATACATACATACATACATACATACATACATACATACATACATACACCTATGACCATGCACGTTAAAGAACCCCAGGTGGTCAAAATTTCCGGAGCCCTCCACTACGGCGTCTCTCATAATCATATGGTGGTTTTGGGACGTTAAACCCCACAAATCAATCAATCAAATCAACACCTATGACCGTAATATAGGAATGACAGAGAGATCAGCCTTTGCAACCGCGATATTAGGCCAACAATGCAGAGCCTGAAGGTCGGGCGCCATCCAGTATTCAGCACTCTAACTGTGCTGTCAATATGTGCTATCGGATAGTGCGGCACTCCTCTAGTTCTGTTTTTTAAAGACGATAGTCTTTCTTGAGGTCCTTCGACGCAAAAATTTTGGTCTGTCTGCCTGCCTGTCCTCTCTTAACGGCACCGGTTACGTGAAACGGCCGACCACATCTGCAGCGCCCACCAATGTTGCTCAAGGTTTAGCGTTCACTACATGTGCAATTGTCAATTGATAAGCAATTACTGCGCAAGTCTGGGGCACCATAACAACACGTATATATTCAGCATGTGCATCTTTTACTAGAAAAGGCATACATAAGTAATTTTAAGGCCGTAGTGCTTATCACACTGCACTGACCATGCAACGCTTGCACGAAAAGATGAGTGTTCCACCGCTTTGCTAAGACGCGATGGTGGTGGCACCTACCCGTCGCCTTGCGTTCTACACCTTATCAGCTCTGAGACGGGCGCGCACACCCGTCCTCAGAGCCACACGCTTCGTTTTCCAAGAACACTTGCCAGGTGGCGCTCATGTCTCACGTGTGACGTGACTTGATGCGCTCGTTCGCCTCCGCTGCACGCTCGAGGCACTCTAACGCAGCGCCTCCAGAATGCCACTCACCGATTTTCTTGCGCAGAACATCAAATAAATTGTTCACCTCTCTCCACACGCATGACCATCGTCTTTCGACGACATTTGCAGATTACATGCAGATACGGGGCCATTTTTTTCGGTCCCTTAAGCTTGTGTTGAGCGTCATGAAGCTCAACACAAGCGTTTTGAGCTTGTGTGCAATAGTAGACGAACGCACATCTGGCTAACCAGCATTATTTGCATTTTTCCTTGCACGTTTCTCTCTCATCATTAAAATGAAGTATCAAATTGATATAAGATGTCGGGAGTCACACTTCAGCACTGAACTTCTTCGAAAAGCGAACTTACCGACCACGTTGAGGTATCCGATCTGAGACTTCATGGGCGACGTGTTGATCTGGCACATGTAGGCTCCGCGATCACGTTCTTGCACGTCGTGGATGTGAAGGTGCCAGGTGCGATGACCGTTGTGCGTCACCTTGAAGCGGGAGTTGTGCGTGATCACGCTCTTGGCCAGAGTCAGCAAGGTAAACTTCTCCACGAACATCCAGGCGACCTACAGCATCCAAATAGATGTTGTAGTACCAGCTCTGCGCCTACATCGTGTATCATTAACGCAGTCACGGACTCGATTAATGAAAGCCCCTTATGGTTGCACATAAAAATTACAATGAGCACAAATTCACATCTGTCAGATAAATGCCGACCTGGGAGGGAGCAAGATGCTCTGAATCTCGCTTATAGCGATGACACACTTTGTTTTGGTAAAATGATGGTTTCGTATCTGGTTTTAGCAGTTGAAGATCAATTACTCCATTTGAGCGCAAAATCGAACAGTATAATATGCCAAGATAGCGACCATCTCCCGTACTCAGCAGAATGGGCAGTTGCGCCACATTTTGACAGCGAAGCTGTTAGTCATACCGTGAGGAAGGTAGTGGTGTTGCAGAAAGCTCCTAGCGCCGTTGCCTAGCAACCACCGAGCACAGCACGCGCTCTGCGATGAAGAGTGTCACGCAAAGCGACCGATGGAGACGATATGCATAGCGTTTCAGGGTAGTTTAACCATCCATGGGCTCAAAAAGATATAAAATAAGATAGAAAACGGGAAAAAAATATTTCAATCAAGAGCTGGAGATGTTGACTTTTCGCCCGACATGCTACTCCAAGTGCTGGGCGATGATTGTGATATACACGCTGATAGACGTATAGCAGAAGCAGCCACACAGATGTCGAGTAAACTATTTACGAAGTTTCACTCAGACTTAAAAGAAAGCAGAAGCAAGCATCGCGACAAGATACTGCGCTGTTTGGACAAGCTGCGCATGCGTGGTGGCTAAGCCACGTCCACCGAAACCCTCACCCCCTCCCTCACCCCCCTCCCATGCGCAGGGTAGCAAACTGGCTGCCTATAGGCTGGTTAACCTCCCTGCCGTTCTTTTCCTCCTAATTTCCTTCCTTCCTTCAGCTCTACAGTGCCTAGCCTGGCTGCGCTCGATCATGCCGAGACAGCCATGGGGTTCCCTACGAAAGCGCATACTCCCGAGGCGTGCGTCTCGAAGCTAGACGTGTTGGTCGATGGGGAAGCATCAGGGGCCAACTGGCCTGTGCTTCCCATTGTCAAGCTTTGCGTGATCTAGTACAAACATATGGAATTTTTAAAGACAATAGTCTTTCTTAGGGACCTTCAACGCAAATAATATCGTCTGTCAGTCTATCTGACTGTTTGTACATTTGTCTGTTTGTCTGCCTTTAACGGTACTCTAAACGGCACCAAAGTGGCCAAACGATACTCCAAACGGCCGAACCCATCCGCAGCGCCCACCAATATTGCTCAAGATTCAGCATTCATATTTGTGCGATCGTCAATTAAAAAGCAATTATCGCGCATATATGAGGCACTATAACAACACGTCAATATTATGTATGTAATTTTTTTTCAGAAAAGGCATACGTAAGTAATTCTAAGGACCATAGCGTTTATCACGCCGCGCTCACCATGCAACGCTTGCACAAAAAAGGCAAGTGTTTCCAACGCTTTGCTTAGACGACACGGTGGTGGCACCTACCCTTCGCCTTGCGTTCTACACCTTATCACCTCAAAGACGAACGCGCACGCCACACGCTTCATTTTTCATGATAACTACAAGATAGCGCTCATGTCTTACGTGTGACGAGACTTGACGCACTCGTTCGCCTCCGCTGCATGCTCGAGGCACTGCAACGCAGTGCCTCCAGAATACCATTCACCGATTTTCTTGCGCAGAACATCAAATAAACGTTTTGTTCACTCCCTTCACACGCAAGACAATCGTCTTTCGATGACATTTGCAGTGTAACACGCAGATATGGGCCATTTTTTACCTACATATAGATTGCCAAGCTTACTTCTGATATCCTGCGTATCATATCATGTTTAGTCATATACGTTCATAAAAAAAGTGAGTGCTTGAAGTGATGAGAAACGCTTAAAGAATAAATTACGCCAGCGCCCATGTTTCGAAGAGTGGAATTATCTTCGTTGCTGCCTCGATGAAGACAGGCCCGCTTGTCAATCCGGTGGCTCCGGTGACATTCTCTGTTCAATGATTTCCCATTAGGTTTATCACGATATTATTCTGAAGGTGATGCTGACTGCGCAAGCGTGGTACTTCCAACTCCACCCTAAAGGTTCTTCACGTTGTTCTCAAGCGTTTCGACGAAGAAAACAATGATGAAAACTCTCGTAACAGGTTCTGCGAACAATCACAGGCACGACCTCTTTGCGATATGCTGCGCACGTCTATTTCTGGAGCAATCCAGTTCCCACCGCGAAAATCTCCGCTTGTCCTTGCGTCTGCTTCGATACAACCTCTGCGTCTTTTCTAAAGATAAACCCCGCATGATAATATAGTAGTCACAGTCTCGATAGCTGAGCCTAAGGTCAGAAGTTCGAGTCTAAGCCATGGCCGCCGCATTTCGATGGTGTCGGCATATTATAGGTCTGTGTACTTAGGTTTATGTGTGTGTTAAGTAACACCAAATGATCAAATCTTTTATATCCCTCCACTACGGCGTCCCCCATAACTATATCGTGGTTTCGTAACATAAAGCCTCAACGATAACTATTATTATTTTATTGAGACAAACTGATATTGTGACACATTAGCGATATCAACCAGAGTCGAAAGTCAAACGCACGTCTTAACAAATGAGCATGGCCCTGACGTCTCCCTAGTACCCCTGGTTAGAAAAATAAATGAAATATCCTCCTGGACAGATTTAGAGATGTATTTGGCCATTTATTAGTTTATCATTCGTACTTTCAACAACCTCCTCTGGCGTAACATCGTGCGTGGCACGAAAACAATATTTCTATCGATATTTTAACGCGCATTGTAGCTATATTCATGTGTAAAGTCATAAGTGTCCAGAAGTGATGGCCCACATATGTCAAAAATTACCACACGTGTATCACTGCGACATTAGTTTTGATACTTGAGCTGCGTGCTCTGCATATCTTCTGGATATGAGCTGCAGCTAGCGGGTGACTGGGACAGCCACTCGTTCTAAATGCGAAGCATTTCTTAGCGAACTTCGGTGACTTCGACCATATCCATCCGTCCGCTCGTCCATCCGTCCATCTGTCCGCCCGTTTGTCCATCCATCTGTCCACCCGTTTGTCCGTCCGTCTGTCCATTAGTCTGTCTGTCTGTCTGTCTCTGTCTGTCTGTGTCTGTCTGTGCCTGTGTCTGTCTGTGCCTGTGTGTGTCTGTGCCTGTCTGTCTGTGCCTGTCTGTCTGTGCCTGTCTGTCTGTGCCTGTCCGTCTGTGTCTGTCTGTCTGTGTCTGTCTGTCTGTGTCTGTCTGTGTCTGTTTGTCTATGACATTCAGCTCTCCTGGCCGTTTTTATCTTGATAGCCATACTAAAAATGGTATGACATAACATGACTGTATGACGAAAAGGTGACTAATTATAACAAAAATTATATGAGATATATGTCATGAATGTCTTGATTTACACTTCATGGTCTTTCTGCTCTTGGGGTGGTTTCATTCATATGACATTACAAAACTGGTATGGTATGACATGACTGCATGGCGAACATAAGTGACCGACCCTAACGCAGAAATCATGACATGCATGTCATGTACGCTATGTCTACATGCCACGTTCGTGATGCATTCGCGGCCATTCCATTAGCTTCACATATACCGAATTTGGTATTACGTGACGCGAACGGACGACGAAGGTAACTGACATGTCCAAGCATGATAATCATGACATGCATGTCATGTAAAACATGACTACTTGCTATGCTCAAAGCATGCTCACGGCCCTTTCGATAGCTTCAAGTATACCAAATTGGGTATCACGTTGCGTGTATGGACGACGAACGCAAATGTCAGGCTCAAACATGATATTCATGACATGGAAGTGATGTAGGGCATAATTTATGTCCGCCTCAAAACGTTGTGTTCATTGTAGGATGACACATCAACCCACATCATTTGTGCTTCGCATATTATCGATTCCCACTTTGCGTGGGATATGCCCAATTTTGAATTTATTCGTTACTCAAGCGTTTTCATATTTGCTTCGGTGGCGCAAGCTGTGGACTGCCCAACTTTTTATGCTCTTTGCCAGTATTTTCCAACCATCTGAGTTAAGCAGAAGTCCATCCAAGGCATTTACACAACTAAAACTTCGAGCACCGTGTGACATGCCCGTTACTACGACAGTGGGAAACACACACTAAAGAAAGCCATCGACGTATAAGAACTCTGTGTGTTCTCACCGCCAAAGTTATTCCATTTTACGGCGCTTCCCGTGGCTAGCACTCTTGTAACACATAAAAGATGGCTATTCATACCAAGTCTAATTATATTGTGTGCGTACGGCACCTCTAGGTACTGTTTCTATATAATATTTATTGACAAATGACTTTTCTCATCGGGGTAATTTACTACAGATACGATTCTCGAGACACCACCGTGGTGCTTAGAAATAAAATTATGAAATAGAAAAAACACGGGCTTTTCACGGGATAAGAAACGAGAAATGAAAAAATCACTTGTCTGTCTTTTGTTCTTTTTCTGTTGAAAAGTTCGCACTGTTTTGCGTCATTTTTTTGTAAATTTTGTTGAGGGGCTGTATGCTGAACTTACGAAATGAAGAGGAATACTAAGGGCTTGTTTTGTTTTGCTAGACACAGCAGAACTAACACACAAAAAGCAAAGGCAAGTACAGATGATGTTATTTGCAGTTCCTATACCTTTACGGGGCTTTTTTGTCTGTTAGTCCAAATCAATTTATCCTGCTCTTGAATCATCTCTGCTATCACTATTATCACAGACATTTCTTTCTCTTAAAGCTACTATAAGAAAAAAAGCGTATGTAAGTGTCATTGCTAAATTCAGGAGACGCTCAGACCAACTGCTTCACAAATTCATTGACTGCAACATCTCTTACAGTAGCATTGATGCCTTCAGGCCTTCGTCTAACTAGGTCTACTGCTGATGTGAATGGGCCCTCTGACGTCCTTTCAAGCAGAAAAAGCACCATATCCGCCAAGCA